CACCTCCACCCCCATCACCTTCATCACCATCACCACCACCATCATCAACATCATCACCATCAGCAGCATCATCATCACCCCACCCCATAAGGACCCCAAACAACAAAAACAGCGGCATTTTCATAACACACGCTTTATCCCAGACACCGTCCCAAACCAGATGAATCGTAACACCGCCGTGAACCCTCAAGGACACTAAGTCACCCTATGGATATCCCCCTCGGCCCTCCTCATCCTAAACCCCATTGGCCCCAGCCCGAACGGCCTGGTACTCGTCCAAGAGCGTGCCAGACGACGCGGAGAAGCTCCCGTCCTCGGCCTGCTTCTGCCTCACCGCCGTCCTGGCGGCGCCGCCGTCTTCGCCGTCCTCCTTCGGGACCTCCTGCGGCATGAGGGTCGCCACGGAGCCTTGGAAGTCCTTGATGACCCAAGGCCCGCCAGTGAACGGCGCCATCCTGCGCTCCACCACCGCGCCCGCAACCAGCTTCTTGCTCTGCAGGGTGGCCTGGTCCCGCGCTCTGTGAAGCTGCGGAGGCCTGCAGACTCCGCCGGGAGGGGATCTTTCCCCGCTGGCTGTATGTCATCGAACGGCGCGTTGAGCTCCTGGCTCCCTGGGTACTTCGTGTACAGGTCGCCCAGGAACTCGCCGACGATCTCGTCTAACGAGGTGAACTTCCTCCTGGTCCGAGCCGACATCCCGAGGTTCACCATGGCGCCACGGACCTCGAGGTCGCCGATCAGCTTGCACGCCTCCGCGTCAGTCGGATGCTTCTCCAACTTGCTGACCACATCCTGCAAGAAGGCCTTCGCTTGCTTGATCCGCATGCTGATCATCAGGTTGGCCTGTTTGTGCTTGCCTACTGCATTCTGGATGTCCAGGCCAGTGAGGAGCGTCGAGTTCCCGTTCTTGACGTAATTCTCAGGGCTGCACATGGCCGCCTTCACCATCGCAATTATGACGTCAGGGGCCGCCGCGAAGTCCACCGCCCCCAAGTGCTTGAAGGTGGCGCTCGGGATCTCCACCCTGACCTTCAGCGTCTTGGCGAACTGGTCCAGCTCCTTGAGCAGCGGCGCCTGCGCGCCACCAGACCATTTCTCGACGAACGCCGTCAAGTCTTTGATCTGCCCTTTCAAATGCGGCTTGCCAGCCTCGATGCTGGAGACGACGCTCGGCCAGTGGAAGCAGCCCGTCTTCTTGAAGTTCCGCCAGCCCTTCGCATGGATCTCCATGAGGAGCTGCATCTTCGTCAACGTCCGCTCGGTGTTGTGCCCCGAATTCCCAGCGCCCTGTAAAAACTCTGGGAGGTTAGGGCAGCCCTTCAAGATCTCATTCCGAATCACTACCCACTCAATGCCATGGTCGAGGAACTCCTTGATCGAAGGGTTGACGGCGATCACCTTGTCGCGCGAGAACTTGCCGTCCGTAACAAACTCTTCAAACTCCGTGCACGCGCCAGCATTGACCGCGTTCAGACCGTGGTTGGTGTGCGCGCACGTCACGGACGCAGCGCGGACGTGCTCCCTCCTGAACGGCGCCAGTTGGCCATCTGAGTCCGCCACCATCTTGGCATTGAAGTCGAGCTCCTGCGTATCATCAGGGCCGATGGCGAAGCACACTGGGCCGTCCAGCCTGCTCTTGACGAAGCCCTGCTCGACGATCCGTTCAAGTAGGAGGTGCACGTCGATGGGGTCGCAACCGTTGCCGAATCGATTCGCGCTCGACGCGGCCACCTGGTAGGGATGCAGGCGCTCGATCGAAGCCAAGTTGCGCGAGAGGAGGTACTGGACGATCTCCTCTGACTTGGCCCGCTTCTGCTGCAACTTGGCCTGAGAAGCGTAGAAGGCCAACTTGCCATTAATGTATGGGACGGCAGTGGACAGCGCCTGCTGGAACTCGGCCATGCCGATCGTGGACCGCGCGCCCCGCGCAGAATTCCAATCGCAGGCGACTGGAAAAGCCGCAGACCTGGAGCCCGAAATGGCTGCGGAAAAGCCAAACTCCGAACAACGTCTCTTCGGTTCGGGGAGCGCCCGTCCGAAATCCTATGTCAAATTCCTGCTACTTGGCTGGCGAAACTCCAATCGGCGGGACGGGATCCTGGGATTGCCAACCTACTGATCCTGTTTAGCAACCTAGTTTACGGAGGTTAGCTAAACGAGTTTACGGTGGTTAGCTAAACGCGTTTACGGTGGATAGCCGTGGTTCGTAACCACTTTGCGTAACCTCTGTATTCACTTTGCGAGGTTAGCCTAAAGTGGTTGCTAAAAGGTTGTAAACGTGCTATCTGGCTAGTATCTACCCTAAACGCTTACGGTTTGCAGTAATGTGGATACAAGGTTATAAAGTATGTTAGATACTATATAACGTGGTTGTAACGTGTTCATATATATGATATAAACATTCGTAAACAGCTAAAATGGTTAGGAACCGCCGCGGCGATTCAAGTACTCACCGCCAGCAAACGACTCCCGGTCCCCACCACCGTCCGCATCACATCCCCCACTGGTGTTCCCAGCACCACTATCCTCACCACCAGTGTCCCCACTGGTTCCACCACCGCCCCCACTGTCTCCACCAGTGCCCCCACCACTGTCGCACTGTCCCCGCTGTCCCCAGAACTGTTCCCACCACGGTTCCACTCTCCCCACTGTCTCCACGGCCCCAACCACTGCCCGACTATCCCCACTGTCCCCACTGTCCCACTGACTCCTCCGCTGTCCCACTGAGCTGTCCCACTGTTCCCACCACTGTCCCCACTGTCCCCACCACTGTCCCCACTGTACCTCTGTCCCATTGTCCCACCGCCGTCCTCGCCACCGCCTTCACCACTGTCCCCACCACCATTGTACCCTCCACTGTCCCACTGTTTCCACCTCATTCCCATTGTCCCCACACCACTGTCCCCACCACCACCGTCACCACCACTGTCCACTGTCCCCCCCTGTTCCCACCATTGTCCCCACCACTGTCCCCACCACTACCGTCCCCACCACTGTCCCACTGTCCCACTGTCCCCACCACTGTCCCGCTATCCCCTCACCACTGTCCCCACCAACACCGTCCCCACCACTGTCCGCACCCCCACTCGGTTTTCGAGGGGGGGGGGGGGTTCGAACCGGTAGTGACCCCCCCCTTTTCGAGGGGGGGGGGGGGAGGGGTTCGAACCGGTAGTGACCCCCCCCCCCTTTTCATGATGAGCTGGGGGGGGGGGAGGGGTTCGAACCGGTAATGACCCCCCCCGGTTTTCCGGTGGGGGGGGGGGGGAGGGGTTCGAACCGGTAGTGACCCCCCCCCGGTTTTCCGCCAGCAGCGGTAGAACACGCTCTTTCGAATCTTCGGATCTATAGCTTCTACGGGAAGAATTGGCACGGATCTGGGATCTACCATACCGGCTATAGAAGACGAGTGGCGCACACGCCACCCACCTCATGATGTGTTCTGTGTTGCAAGGGGGACTGCGGGGGCAGCAAGCAACCGCAACGTCATCGAGGGCACACCCTGGGGGATGTCTTGCGCATGCCAATGTCACCCCGGATCCGTTCCTGACGGTCCGGGGGCTCGAACTCGGCCCCAGGAGGCCGAAAGTGGCCAAACACCCGTTCGTCAATCGTTATCGCCTTTTATCTTTCCACACTACCCCCGCCGCCCATCGAGTTGCCTGAATCGTTGCTTCTTCTTTTTTTCTTCATATCGATGGATCGTCGTCCACAAAAGGGAGGGTGGGGTTCGAATTTCGCCGCCGGTACGCGTGCTGGCTGGTCTGACGGGCTCTGCTTGCGCAGGGTGAGGCGTGGGCACTCGCTGCCACCGCGCGGACGCCCATTAACCGTGCATGCGTTGGTTCCGCGCGTCTTTCCCCTCAAGATGATCCAGGATGCTCTTCGATCGGGGAGACGCAGGACTCGGGTTCGGGGGATTCGGGTTGGCCTGACGGGGCCATCATGAAAATGGCGAGACCCGGCTTGAAACTTGACGTCAGCTCCTGCTGCAAACGCCCCCCCGAAACTGGAGCGTCAAAACCCAGGACTCGCTCGTCAGAACGCGTCGGCTAAGCCGAACTCTGGCGCACTCCCGACTTGACGGTGCTCGCCGAGAACAGAGGAAGAACAAAAGCACAAACATTAATGTTTGCCGCTCCGCGCAGATTTCCTGGATCCGCGCTGGACCCCCTCTCTGGCGCGCAGAGCGCGCCAGGGGCGCGCTGGAGGCGCCGCCAGGGGGGCCCAGCGCGGATCCAAGAAATCCGCGCGGAGCGCTTCAAAGCTTATGTTTATGTATTTTGTTCTTCTTCGAGAGAGAGCAATGGGCGACTTCAGTATATAATCAGGCATAGTTGCATGTCTTCTGTTGCTCTTTTTACAAGTATATTGTTTCGTTTTTTGTTTCGCCTACGCGTCTGCAAGGGATGCAAGGCCGCAGTTAGTCAGTCGAGAGAGAAACAATGCACACGTCCGAGCGATTTCGAGCTTGCCAGCCCGAGCGCGCATGTCGCGGGAGGATCTCGTCGCGCTGCTCCGGAACCCGCGGCGCTGCGGCCTGCTCTGCTCGGTGCGCGCGCCTCCCGCAGCGGGGCCGAGGCGGGGGAGGCCCGCTGGAGCGGGTGGACAAAAACGACCCCACAAGATCCTTCCTCCTCCTCCTCCTCCTGCTCCTCCTCCTCCTCCTCCTGCTCCTGCTCCTCCTGCTCCTCCTCCTCCTCCTCCTCCTCCTCCTCCTCCTGCTCCTCCTGCTCCTCCTCCTTGCTTTTCCCTCCTCATTGCCAGCTTTTCCCTCCTCCGTTCCTCCTACCGCCCGCCCTCGTCCTTCTCCCGCTTGTCCTCCCACCTCCCCCCCCCACTCATCTTAGGTCGGGCCTGTCCCCCTACAGGGGGATTGTGGACGAAAAAATAAAAATTAACTCATAAAACACTCAAAAAGGACTATGTTTGACTATTTTTGAGTATTCCCCCTGTAGAGGGACAGGCCCGACTTAACACTCCTCCCTCCTTCCCCTTCTCATCTGCCTCCTCCGCTGAGATGCACTCGTGCGCTGGCGGCCAGTGCAGCGCGCCTAAAACAAATTTTTGGGGCCGTACCGGTGTCACGGTCACGTCGCCCTCAGGTAATGGGGAGAGTGTAGGGGACGGTGATGCAGGGCAAGAGGTAAGGGAAGGCTTTTGGAGGGCAAGAGGTAGGAAGATGGCAGGGAGAGGCTTTTCGAGGGCAGGGAGAGGCTTTTGGAGGGATGGGAAGAGGTGAGGGAAGGCTTTTGGAGGGCAGGGAGAGGTAGATGGAGGAAAAGGAAGGCAGGTGATGGAGGGCAAGAGGTAAGGGAAGGCTTTTGGAGGCTTCAGGGGGCTCCCGTGGGCTCCAGGCAATTCTTTTTCCACTGGAGTCCTGCGGGGGGGCGGAAAGGGAGTAACGCAGGAAGTGGAGGGTGGGGAGGAATGGATGCGGAGGAAAAAGGGGGGGGGGTGACGAGGGGGGTAGGATAATGGCATCTGCCTCCTGAGTTCGTTGGGAGAACGTAGGCTGGCGTGAGCCGTCGTGTCAATGCATCTGTCTTCTCCTTCTCCTCTTCCTCCTCCTCCTTTTCCTCCTCTTCGTCTTCCCCCCTCCTCCTCACTCCCTTACCGCATCCAGCATCCATCCATTTCCTCCCCCTCGTTCTCCTCCTCTTCCCCCTCCTCCTCCTCCTCCTCCTCCTCCTGCTCCTCCTCCTCCTCCTCCTCCTCCTCCTCCCGTCGTCGATTTCTTCGTCGCCGAGGGGAGGAACGGATGCGAGAAGACAAAGGGCAGCAACGGACAGGAGGGGGGAGGCAGATAGAGAGAGGAGGAAAGGCAGCATCGGACGGGAGATGGGGGGGGCGGCGGACGGTGAGGGGAAGAGGGCGCGGCTGCTAGGAGCAGAAAAGGGGGGGGGGGGAGGGGGGGAGGGCGTGCGATCTCAAGGCCTGCCAGGCCACCTGCTCTCAGCCGACCCCTTCCGCCCCGCCCTCTGGACAGGAGCGTGCGTCGTGGGAGGCGGCGGGAAAGGGCGAGCTGCACGATGCTGCGTCGTCGTCGTCTTCGCCACCGTCGTCGTTGTGGGCGGTTGGAGGACGATAAAGCGGAGAAGAACGAAGGAGAGTAATGAGTGAGGGGGGGTGAACGAATGAGGAGGAGGAGGAGGAAGGAGGAGGAGGATGAAGGAAGGAAGGAAGGAAGGAAGGAAGGAAGGAAGGGAGGAGGAGGAGGAGGAGCAGGAGGAAGGAAGATAATGAGGATGAAGGAGGAGGAGGAGAAGGAAGGAAGGAAGGAAGGAAGGAAGGAAGGAAGGAAGGAAGGAAGGAAGGAAGGAAGGAAGGAAGGAAGGAGGAGAATGAAGGAGGAGGACGAAGGAGGGGTGGGGGAGGGGCGAATTGTACGATGCCGCGCAGGGCGCAGACAAAGGAAAACCATCAGCAGCATACAGGCGGGCGCAGGAGTGGAAGCTGATGCCCAGAGGGGAAACGCCGATCCCCGCTAGTTGGTCCGCCCCCGCTACCAATCCATACCAAGCTGGCCCCCAGATCGAGAGAACCGAGGAAGATCGCTGCTTGGTATGGCATGGCCTGGTAGCGAGGGCGGAGTTCGTAACGCCACCCTTATCACGCCTCCTCGTCCTCCCTTCACCCCTTCCTTCTCCTTTTGCCTGTTTTCCCTTTTCTCTCCTCGCTCCTTCATCCCTCCCCCATCCTTCTGGCCACGACATACCATCCCCACTCCCATCTGGGAAACCTTGGCACCTCTGGCCGAGCACCGCCCCTAGATGGGCATGGATGCCGGCTCCTTCGGGTTTCGGAGCACCTATCCCCGTTTAGCGGAGGCACGCTGAGAGAGCTAACGTACTCTGTCCCGGTGGTGGTGGGGACGGTTCTGACGACACTGAATCCTTCTTCCTTCTCCTTATCCCCCTCCTACTCCTCCCCCCGAGGTTAAAAGTTCACCCTCCGGGATGCACTCGTCGCACCCAAAACGATACGGAGTCAAAAACTGCTGCCGCTCGCCTCTTCAGCTACTGCCGGGGCACTCGTTGGCAACCGTTCCGCTCTCGTGCAGCGACCCGGATGAGAAGGGAAGAGGAGGAGGAGGAGGAGGAGGAGGAGGAGGAGGAGGAGGAGGAGGAGAAGGAGGATATGGAGAAGATAGGAGGATGAGGAGGAGGAGAAGGAGGAGGAGGAGGAGGAGGAGGAGGAGGAGGAGAACCATCTGACGCTGCTGGGCAATCGTCCTCATGGCCCGTCGAAGAAAAGAACAGGATGCGGATGAATGGGGAGGAGGAGGAGGAGGAGGAGGAGGAGAAGAGGGCATGGAGATCGCTTACCAAGAAAGGGCGACGGCCAGCCAAGAGCACGGGACGAGAAGAGAGACAAACCCCCCGCCACCAAGCCGAGCAGCAAAGTCAATGCTTGGATAGGCGCGCGCGATACGTTGTTTGCGTACGCACCCATACCCATCGGTCGGAAGAAGTAGGTAGAAACATGGAGTAGGAAGGCGTTGGCAATATATTGGTTTTCCGCCCGCCTCCTGAAGAGGATGGAAGAGAGAAAGCCACTCGACTCTTGAAGTAGGAAGGCGCTGAAAGTAGACTGGAATATGGGAATCCGAAAATACCTACTTTCAACGACCGATGGGTGAACATCACGACCACCGTGCTCGCATAATCCCTGCCCGATGGTACACGTAGAACACCCAGCGGGTACAAGCAAGCAACCATGCCAGCTGCATTTCCGAAATACAGCGAGGGTCTATGACTGGGGCGTTGAGCAACTGGGCAAGCAGTGGGCGACTATCAAACCTCGACAACCCGCACACGGCACGCTGGGGTGTCCAGGCACTGCTGAGGGCCTCAGGACACAGGGAGCTGGAGCGAACGCGCGGGAGAAGGAGAGGAGCAAGAACGGGGAGCGTAGTGGCAACACGTGCACCCCTTCGTGCATCGGAGCTGGATCAAACTGCAGCGCACGCCGTCCAAAGGCCAACATTGCCAGCTCACCGTGGTCGTTTCGCTGAAGAGGAGCATGATGCGCCTTGCGCTGAAGCTAAGCGTTTTCAGATGGGACCCATGCGTATCTGCAATACTGTACCCTCAATCGAGCATGAAACGTCGACGAGCGGAATCACGGATGCAAAGCCCGTGCCACCACGCTCTCGCTGTCCGCGCTGACCTCGGAGGAAAGCTCGACCGATGACCGAAAGGCACGGCGTCTCCGTGACGTGGCGACGTCGAAGCGAGTCCAGCCGGAGGGGGTCGGATTGCGGACCGCTGCGTCGGTGGCTCTTGGTGCCGTCCGTCTCGGCGCTGTCCTTGTCGCTGGGCTGGCTCGCAGTGCTGGTCTGGCAACGCACTCACCAGAACCAAGACTCTGCGGACCAGCAACTCGGTCGCCGGAACCGCCACCATGAGCCTCAGCATTAGACGATGAGCTGGCTCCGGATGCGGGTGCTGATGGTGGAGCAGACTCGTCTGCTGCTCCCAAGTCGGCACCGCCTGGTAGCTGGGCCTGTTGGTCGCTGGAGTGGCGTGGACCTCCAGGTCGCGCTGGCGCTCGCGGGCGTTAGCTGGCGCGCGGGCGCGGCCGCGTGCAAGGGTCCGCAAAAACGCGCTTACTGACCGCGTGAGCGCGCGCAAGTAGGTCGGGTTTTTCTCCTCACGGCAGCCTGGGCGCCCCCAGCGGATAGGAGCACTGTAAGGGTGTCGGCGTGTGGCCCGACCTCTGGGGTGCATGGGCGAATCGGCGCGCGCGTTGCGCTTGCACGGTCTGCGCGTGTAACGCGCGCGCTCGGCCGCCATTTCATTCCGGATCTCGCCCTCAGTTGCTCCGGAGGCCACTGCTTGGAAGGCTGCCGCTTAGTCGTCGCATTCGAGAACGTAGCGCGGGAAATGCGGGCGCCTGAAGCGGCGACGCAGGTCAATAATAAAACATTCAGACGTGCTTGCGCTTGTCTGGCCGCTCGAGGTTTCCGAACCGTTCGATGATATCCTGGGCGCTGTGGTCCAGGCCTGTAATTATCTTCGAGATACACCCACGGCGATCACGGAGTCCGAACACGCGCTGGTCGAAGATGACCTTGTCTACGCCAGGTGCCACATGCGCGTCTGGTCACTTCGGCTCGTCACATAGCCACGACGAGTCGGGCTGCAGCCACCAGCCGCCCATATCGATTTGCAAATGTGATACGTGGCCGCAGAATCGGCCGCGCGGGGCCGCGGCCTCGTAGGAGCTCCGCCAAGTGCCATGAATCTGCATATACTTAAATGTCACCCAACGACAGAATGGCCAGCAAGTCGGAACCATCATTGGCACTAGGGGCCGGTTTTGTCTCATATGTCTCTACGGCTTGTTGCTGGCCCTCGTCGTTGAGATCGCAGCAGGTGACCAAGTCGAAATGTTCACCAACCTTGAGGTTGCGTCGGACAGCAAATCGGCCACGCCGTAGTCGGGAGAGGTGAGGTAGGTGACGAGGTGGTGAATAGAGTCGATCTCGGCGTGCTGGGACGTCGTTCGAGCATTCGCCAGATGGCGATCCGGTGCTAGGTCTGACGACCCCTGGAACCACCATTTAAGCAAACCTGACATGAGGCTGCCATAAGAGTTCATCCTCGTCGCACTCGTCGGCGCGACTTGGTTCGCCAACGGCTGGGGCTCCGAGAAGATAGGGGGCGGGGCCCGCAAGGTCGGACCCAAAGTCGTCGCAGTGGTCCTCGACGACTTGCTTCCGAGCCGCCGTGGGGGCGTGGCCCCGACATTAAGAAAACAACGCAGCTGTGCGTCTAGAATTTGGGGCCAAAGGGCTTGCGGCAAGCCTGGCGCATGCTGAAGTTGAGCCCGCCGGTGTCAATAACTTGTCGCGCTGCTGGCCTCCCTTGTTGGCCGTTCCGGCCGACGGCCGCTGCTCTGTCGCCGGCGCCCCTGGTCCGGGAGCACCAGAGAGGGGAGGGGTCGAGGATATGGTGCGCCTCCCCCCGGTGGGCGTCGAAACGCGCCGCTGCGCAGCGACTCGACTGCATCCTTGAGGACGGCGGCGCGGACGGCGTCGATGTCCTGCAGGGCCTGCAATGTGCCCCGCCCCCATTCCAGGACCCAGGCGGGACGTCCTGGCCCTGCTGCCCATTCTGCCGGGGCAGGTCGGCTGGGCCAGCCTGGAGAGCCAGCCAGGCAATTTCCTCGCGCGACGAATCCATGGGACCGTCGGCGCCAAAGATGCCGAGCGGACCGTCGGAAGTCGGATAGCCCAAATCGCTCGGGATGGCGTCGCGGCCGAGGCAGGCCACGGCCGCGTGTCCGAGCCGCCCCGGCCCCCGAGACGATGAAGGCAGACTGAGTGCGACCGAAATTTCGGCGTCGTCCACGATGAGCCAGGCAGTGCGATGGCCCTGCTCGACCGCGTGGGTTCGCGGACTGGCGCTTCGCAGAATGACCTCGATCTCTCCGCGGTAGTCGGGGCCCGCCGCGGCGCCGGGGATTGATTGAAGGCCAAGTCATGAGGGTGGCGCGACGCGCGCGCACATGCCTGGCGGCGCCAGCGCCGCCACGCCCGTGGACGCCAGTTTCCGACCATAGATTGCGATACTGACGTCGGCCCAGGCGAGCGAGTCGCGGCCGCCAGAACCTGGCGCGCCAGGCGAAGGTGCCCTCGCGCCTGGACTGAGAAGCTGGATCTTCAGCTTGCGAAGTTCTCGTCCGTCGGCGACGCGGCGATCCTGGTCGTCATTGCCCACCGCCAACAGAGTGCGCTGCTTGGGCGGCGGGCCCCTGGAGCGCGGCTGGAGCTTGCCGAAAGTGTCGGCTGGAATGCACAGGTGCCCATTCGGCGCCGACTCCAGGTCGAGTTGGACGGCGCCAGGGCCCCGGGTGGTCTGGCCGCCTGGCATAGGGAAGGCAAGGCGTTCGTGTTTCGCGCCTGTCTCCGCCACCTCGTTCGAGGACTGCGCGGGTCGCAGGCCTGACAGGCAGGAAGGTCAGCGCCGTCGCCCCCCACGGCAGAGCGCGCGCGCTGCGCTGACTGGCCACGCCGTCGCGCGATGTCGCTGCGATGGGGCAGTGCATCTCCCAGCGCGCCACCTGCGACCATGGCGCGATCCTGCCGCGCGCAATGGAGTTGACAACTTCTCTTCGGAGAGCCGCAGTTTCGCCCGCTGGGCTCTCAAGGCAAAACTCACGTTTACATTGACGCCTCTTAAAGTTAGCCAGCTTTGTCTAAGAGCACGGGGGGACCTTGAAAGTGGGGGCAGGCGGAACTGGAGCGACAACCCTACTGAAAACAAACGACTGCCATGCAAGCACGAATATCCAACACAGCAGCCGAAGACACGAGAGCAAGTGCCGCCAGCGAGCCTAGAGGGGGATATCCCCCCGAAAGATGTTCAAGAGGCGAGCCCGAGCCACCTTGGGCCCAAGTCCAGAGCGGTGCCTGACCTGGCCTCGGGCCTATCAGGGCCCGCGATAAAACTCGGAAACGCATCAGTCCCAGGGATTTAGCCCCCAGGGTGGGAGCGGTGGGGCCGAAACTGCAGCCAAACAATGGTAATGACATGCAACGAAGGGATGCAGTGTAGGCGGCTAGATACATTGACGATGCTACTGTAAAAGTGTGTTTGTAAAACGCGTATTTACATTGACGCCTCTTAAAGTTAGCCAGCTTTGTTTAAGAGCACGGGGGGACCTTGAAAGTGGGGGCAGGCGGAACTGGAGCGACAACCCTACTGAAAACCAACGACTGCCATGCAAGCACGAATATCCAACACAGCAGCCGAAGGCACGAGAGCAAGTGCCGCCAGCGAGCCTAGAGGGGGAGATCCCCCCGAAAGATGTTCAAGAGGCGAGCCCGAGCCACCTTGGGCCCAAGTCCAGAGCGGTGCCTGACCTGGCCTCGGGCCTATCAGGGCCCGCGATAAAACTCGGAAACGCATCAGTCCCAACCCCATCAAATCGAGACTGGCATACATGCCTAAACACCAGCCTTCAGCAGATAAGGGAGGGAGGGAAGGGTTCTTATTTATGTTGTGCTCCAGCCCCCCTGTTTTATGTAAAACCCCCGGTCCCATCTTTGCTCTATGTTCTGTTCAGGAATACAGGGGGGGACAGGGGGCGCTCGACACGCCTCAAGGCACGCTCCAGCTATGCTA